CACAGCATTCAGCACGACGGCCAGCACGGACCATCCCATCAAAACAGTCCTGACAACGGACATGCTGTCCACATGTCAGAAAAACAGCAGGACGTTCATCACAGCACGGCATTATGCAGTCCCGATAGCGTCCTTGCACACAAAAGTGACAACGAATATCTGGGTGATAGGGATGTGTACAATGAGGCAATGTTGAATACCCTTCGGCACAGACGGCAGCGGCCGCAATAGATTGATATAATGGTGATGGCATAGGTGATGAATTCCACAGCCAAGGCACACTGCGTCCCTGCCCCGACAGGTGTCACACGAGCGTTGGTCAATAATCCAGAATAAAGTATGATTCGGCAATGCACGCAAAAAATCATTTATGTTGAAAATGGCCTGAATCATCGTCCCACCATCCCGGAGTTCCCACTGGGCCCCTGCACGAACGAGTGCCATATAATGCCCGGGTCTGTGCAAAATGCAGGCAGAAATATGAGGATTGTCATTTAAGGTCATCGCCTGGCGAGTGCCATATAATGCCCGGGTCTGTGCAAAATGCAGGCAGAAATATGAGGATGGTCATTTAAGGTCATCGCCTGGCGTCATATGAAGCATAAGAAGGTGACGACGTGGAAAGCTAACTCTAAGACATTTACAGTAAAGCCTCCTGAGGTAGTATAGTTACTACCCTCAGGAGGTGGACCGTTATGGTTATACAACAACTGATTTTCAACAGCGTCAAGCTGATAAGCAATCGTAACAAAATGAGATGCAGTATAGCATTAACGCTTATAAGCCATTGAGGTAGGCAGACATTTGTGGCTGTCAAGCCACAAGCATTTGGTAGAACTGCCCGCAGATCCGAATCGGTCACCGCTGGAAAGCCAGGTCTGGTCTGGCGCGGTCGGCGCGTGATTGACGAACACCGCCCACGTGGCAGAGCAGGCTCAGGCTGTCGATAAGACAGAACGAACGACGGGGAAGACGAAGAAAGGGATGAAGAAGAAGAAGAAGACGAAGGGGAAGACGGCGCCAGACCAGACCTGTCCACGTGGCAGATTAGCATCAACAAGACGTCGAGCGGAAGGGGAACTGGGAGGAGGAGAGAATGAACGAGCCTGCCGACGTCCCAATATGGACAACGAAGATAAAGGAGGGGCTGATCTCAGCCGGCGTGAGGAAGAGGAAGACAAACTAGGAGGCAGAAGAAGAGGAAGAAGACGAAGGGATGAAGAAGAAGAAGAAGAATAATGAAAACAGGGGCCAACTGCCTTTCGTACACGCTTCGACAGCTCTTCAATGCATAGCCACGCATACTAATCTCAGCTTACGCGCACATTCCCCGACGCATTTCGATCGATTGCGCTCCGATCATCATCAGGGGGCTTTCCACATGACCCTGCCTTGCGGCCCACCGACAGTCCTCCCATCCTACTGAGAAGAAGAAATAGAAGTAGAAGGGGAAGTAGAAGAAGAAGAAGAAGACGAAGGGGAAGAAGAAGAAGAAGGGGGAGATGACAAAGAAGGAGAGGATGCGAGCAAAGAGGAAGTGGAAGGAGAGGAAGGGGGAGCGGGAGAGGGAGGGTGAGGGGAAGGGGAAGGAGGAGAAGGAGGAGGAAGTGGAAAGGAGGGGAAGATGGACAAGAAGGGGGAGGGGGAGGGGGAGGAGGATGAGCAGATGGAAAAGAGGAAGGTGGAGGAGGAGGGGGAGAGGGAGGAGGAGAAGCGAAAGAAAGGGGAGGAGAAGGTGGAAGAGGACGATGTATTACCCAAGACCCTCGCTGCAGCCCCACCTATTCTGGGGCGCAGCAGTCCGGTTGCATATCACCGTCAGGCATGAAGACAAAAAAGACCGCGAGGAAAAAAAGGGAGCGGCTCTGCCCGGGCTATAATTGCCCAGGGCAGTGGGCCTATTGTTGCTCTACAGTGGGGAACAGCATGACTTTCGTCTGGCAGTGCTCGGATTCCTCTACCTAGGAGAGGCTCAGCGTACCCAGACGACGCTTAGCGCGATCCCAGCTCGATCGTAAACTCGCTCTGTATTCAAATTTGCAACAAATTTTCTTGCCGCTCAAACTTTGCCGCACTCCATGCTGTGGCCACGTCAATTTCCCGTGGTATTAACCATTCTGCAAATTCCTCACTACCGTCTTCACCCGAATAGAACGCCCGGTCATCATTGCTGTATCAGGACTCAAAGTTGCCCCAAATACAGTTATAATGACAGGGCGTTCTATTCCGGTGAAGACCGTATAGTCCCAGCAGCACCCCCATCCTACTTACAGTATTTTCTCATATCACTCCCTCCGTTTCAGTCTACGTTTGCTCGCCACCGTATCAATGAAGCTCTGTTTAAGATCGGTTCAGTCGTCACACTTAACCCCCTCATGCCAAACTTGCGATTAAATTGAAACAATCTGCACGCTTTTCTGCTGACATCGATTCCCCGATAGGACGTTGGATATCTACCAAGCCACGACAAATGACACAATAAGATCGACCGTCTCCCACTTGCGCAAATGAGGAGATTTCGGCCGTTGATCTTTGCTATCTACGGTCAGTATGGCTTAATCCGTGCAAGTAGGACCTAACCCCGGGGACGGGTGGGTGAGTAGTGCAGCGACCCCTATCACCCATTCATTAATAACCAGATACGGCAGCAAAACTGGTCCAATTCAGATTCAAAAAATTGAGCCAAGGGCCTATAGGCAGGCCCTACCTATACAATAGCTCGTTCGGAAAAGCACTAGAGTCACGTCAGGAGGTCAAGGGTTCAAGCCCGTTTGGCCTCACCAACACCCAGGCTGGTGGATGCCTCAGTGGCAGGCACATTAGCCGACATTGTTGGGTATTAACTTTCTTCCCCCGAATACAACGTACGGTCATTATGGCTGTATCTAGACAAAGAAGCCTCAAATACAGCTATAATGACCGTACGTTGTACTCGGCGGAAGAAGGGTAGTCTCATTGTACAAGGAAGACGCGGAGAGACCCGGCTACTAGCGATACCGCTCACCACCACCGTAGCGCTACCGGTGGCTCCCTCGCCTGCGTCTTCCCGCCCAGAGTCCAACACCTGCGAGTTTGGCTTGAAGAGGTACGGGCTTGTGGATGGTCCACGTCAATGCTTGCGTACACGGTAGAGGATTAATCAGATGAAAAAGGAGATGAACGGTGAAAGAAAGGGAAGAGAGAACGGAAGTTCGGGCAGAAAGAAAGAAGAAAAAAAAAAAAAAAGTTCGAATACCTGCCCTCGCCCGCAAGTGCTCGCTCAACCCAATTCAACCTCAGACAGAGCCTGCAACCACGGACCTCCGGACTTCGGGTACCGTCTTCCCCCGAACATAACGCACCCTGAAAATGAACGTATACAAGGTATGTTTCCGGCCCGATACAGGCAAAATGGGGGTGCGTTGTGTTCGGGGGAAGACGGCAGGCCCAGGCCGGGGCCAAACCACCGAAACGACAGACTGCGCTCGTGTAACGAATGGATTTGAAAGGGAAAAAAAACGTAACTGCGCTACCTCACAGATGCACAAGGGCAGGTCATGCTTTTTACTGTAAATTAACACTAGTAATATTAGTTAATTAATAAATAAATATCTTCGACGCAACCCACATTACTAAGTAATAATCATGTCTCCGACGCAACCCAGATCAGTCCTGCACAAATCTAAATGAACATGGCTGAGTCATTGATAAGTACAGAGAAGATACACGTGGCGCTGCCGAGCTTCTTTGGAGTAATCAACAGCTCGCGGAGTCAGATTCGTTCACATGCGCGCTACGCTCGCGGCCTAAAGGAAAAGATCGCGAAGGAAAGAGAAAAGAGAAGCGAAGAAATGAAGAGAACAAAAACCAAGAAGCAAACGACGACGACGATTCATCGCTGCTATGTTGCCAACTCGATTAACTTTGCCCAGATATCCTCAAAAACGGAGTCCTCGCTTTCCCCAAATCCCCTTTACATTTCCCCTGCTCACAAAAATTGAACACGAAATACTCGTGTACGGGAGAGACTTTTACGAACTCTCAACTACGACCACTGGCAATATATACGGCCAAATCCCCTTTCAATTTCCCCAAATCCCCTTTAAATTTCCCCAAATCCCCATTAAATTTCCCCAAATCCCCTTTAAATTTCCCCTTCTAGCCAGAACATGCCCTATATGAAAAACGATATATCGGCCCAAGACGGTCTAAGACTTGTCGATAAAGAACTGCGCAACATGCTCACCCACCAGGAGCTCATTGCGCACCAGCTGCTGCTATCGCGTTCGAAATCGGCCGTGCTGTCAAGCAGCTCTACCCTCTTCACCCGAATAGAACGCCCGGTCATTATAGCTGTATTTGGCACACGATTCAGTCCAGATGCAGCGATAATGACCGGGCGTTCTATTCGGGTGAAGACGGTAGCCATGGCTGCTCAGGTGCTGCGGTATACTTCAGAAATCTGATCAAGATCGTAAAAAAGAAGACGAAGAAGAAGAAGAAAAAAAAAAAAAAAAAAAAAAAAAAAAAAAAAAAAAAAAAAAAAAAAAAAAAAAAAAAAAAAAAAAAAGGACGAGGAGAAGAAGACCAAAAGGAGGTAGCTGACCGAAATCGGCAAAATCTAGTTAATGCAACGTCGTAGAAACTCGGTGCCGAACCGCCTTGTTTACCGCGCGCCATCTGCTGCTGCCAGCACGTTGGAACGCGACCCAGCTCTCAAGCATTTGTGCGCCTGGCTCCCCCTCGGAAGCTGCGGCAGTCAAGAAGATAGAGAAAAAATCGACGAAGACGACAACGACGACGAGAAGAAGAAGGCAGCTCAATGAAAGCGGGAGATTCTAGTTAGCAGAATGTCGCTGAAACTCGTAACCGAAACGATTGATGTTTAACTCCGTCATTGAACTCAAAAAAGTAGAATCAGATGATACGCTGCGAACGCGACGAAGACGACGACGACAAAGAGAAAAAGTCGACGAAGACGACGACGGCGAGAAGAAGAAGTGCGGAAGAAGCGTACGTACCTGTAGAGGAACACCAATTTGCGGCGCAGCAAGCCCAACTCCAGGGGCAGTTCTCATTACCGCAACCATGTCGTTGATCGTCTTCTCGATCGCTGGGCTCCCTATTTCTTCCCTCCTCACCTCTCTTGCCCTTTCGTGGAGCACCGGGTCGCCAGCCTGCACAATCTCCGGCAATGAAGGCCGACCAAAGCCGAACAACGCCTTGGTGGTCATCCCGCTAAAACTGCTCTTCCGAGATAACCCCCCAAAGGCTGTGTTGCCAAACGCGGCGATTTTCATCGCATCTCCACTCGCCACAGGAAGGAACTCCATCGCTGACACCGATTTCCGACTACGAAAAACGCTGGGCACCGTGGATACAGCACAGGTAATTCGCGATCGCGCCACACCTACTAGAGGTAAAAGATCGTCGTTTGGCAAAGCTGAGGCGACAGCACATTCAGTATAAGTAAGAAAGATTCTGGATCCGTAGGAAGACAAAGAAGAAAATAGGGGGAAAGATGCGCATGAAGATGGAGTCCGGTGCGGATGACGATGATGTGAATGCCAGCAAAACTGGGTGTAGACGGGAGCTAGTAGATAAGGGCGAGCACAAGCAGATGTTATACTCCGCCGACCTGCAGTAGTAGTACGCTTGTTATTACTGGAGTTAGAGGGAGTTACGTTCGCGGCCAACTCCGAGTCCTTGAACTTGCCGACTCTGCTGGCTACAGTTTGGCGCGCTTTCCAAGTCCGAATGTCAAGCGGTGGAGCATTTGAATCACGAACGGCCGATCGGCCTTCAAAATAGCAGTGTTCCCCAACTAGACAGCCCAAGAACGCAGTACACTTGTCAAAAGAGTCAAAACGCCAATATGACACCTCAGCCCTTCCGCCCAACCACCGTCTCTTGGCCTTCCTACACCCAATTTGGCGCTCTTTCGCGCCGAGCCCCTTCACAGATGAAAGCGCACACACTACTGCAGAGCTTCCGCAACATGTGGATTCTGGCCTGGGAGCTGTCAGGCTGGGATGCGGGCAATGCCCGAGAGCAGTGCCTGACATATTTTCCTGTGTCTTTAAAAACGCGCCTCGGTCACGTTCGCACCTCGGTCGCCTGTCTCGGCTTGGTGCCAGCTCGGCTTGGCGCGACAGCACGACGTCGCGTTGAGTAAACGCGGGAAGGTGATCTGGGATAGGGCAGTTCGGAGTCAGCGCCTCGGTGCGGCGTACCGTTATTCCCAATACGACCGTGCTGCTACCGGGGAGCGTGCACCTGCGTGCAGCTGCATACGATAGAAAAGACAATCAGCCGACCAGGCCGGAGTTCGAGTCGTTTTGCCGTGCCTGCTGACCGCAATCGCTATTGTGGCGCGGTCCTCCTTTCACAACGTCGCCCCGCTCACCACCACCGCTTCGGAGAACTCCGCTGGCTACCGTAGGTAGGTGTAGAAGGTCAGGGATTTCGCTTGGTGCCAAGAGGATATTCCCGCCTACTTGGCTGGCCTAGGGCAAGGTCCCACTTGCACGGATTAAGAGATTCTGGCGGTTGATCTTTGCTATCTACGGTCAGTATCGCTTAATTCCTGTAAGTGGGACCTAGCCCCATGGGCATCGGATTCTGCCGAGCTTTCCAGAAGGAAACGAGACACATTGTCTTTTTTTTTTTTTTTTGAAACGAGACACATTGTCAAGTCACGTAGAAACCCGGAGCGAGGTCCCACTAGCAAAGGGGATTGGATAAATACCCGGAATCTGGACGTGTTTTGAGCAGACATGCAGAAAAGCAGTCCAATCTCGACATTCTGCACCGTTCCGCCAACACGTCCAGATTCAGGTCTTCAATCCTATCCTCTTTGATAGTGGGACCTTGCCCCCGTTGTCAGGTAGAAACACATTGGGCCTCGCCGCACTACTCTCGACATGCGCAAAAGACAAAAAAGCTGCGAATGTATCCATCTTTCCATGTTCTAGGAGTGGATTTCTCATTTTGGACATTTGGAGAGTAGTGCAGCGAGGCCAATTGTCAAATAAACCATTCCCTCCACTGGAAGCGAAAGTAGTCTCCCACCCACCACAAGCAAAGCGCTTTCTTCCGCACCACAAATGGCAAAGCTACGTGCACCACAAATGAAATGAAATGTATACTTACCCTTCACCACTATACCCTCCACTGCAATAGCCTTCCCGCAATTCTCACCGCAATACACTTCGCTCAGCTTCACTGCTGGGGAAATTCGTTGATTCGTTGATTTTTCGCTTATGACAACTAATTTCCCACGAACAGATCGGAGCTTTTGAT